GTAAAAATCACGAAAATTCGTAAATTATTTTATGCTTGAAATTCAAAAAAAGTTTTCTTTTAAAATCTAAGATTTAAAMATTTTTAATAATCTATAATATATTCTAGACAGATAAACCGTCTCCGCTCAGAATCGTTTTTCGTATACAATGATATAATATMATTGAATTCAAATTTAATTCCATCCATTACAGTAACCCACTTGTAACCTACTGTACAGCAGGGCGACATCCACGACTTACCCGATTTTTTTAGATTTTTTATTTAGGTCGCGCTACGATCGTGGCGCTGGATAGTTTACCTAACGTCGACACTAAACGTATTGAATAAATAAATCATTATTTATCAGAAACTAACATAGTATATAACACACAAAAATATGACATATAAAATATGTATTATTTGATTCAAATGAGCATCGTTAAGTATATTATATCTATTGCAACTTACGGTACATACCATCATGGTATGTTGCAATATTGATTTAAAATAATAGAATATACAACTATCTTGTAGTATGTGAATCGAATATTATTTACCTACGTTGTATTATAATTATGAGACGGATGAGTTATATAAGTACGTATTATATTGGATAAAAACACCAAATGATAACGTCGAAGACTCTGAAGTTTATATCCAATTTGAATGAAGCAATTATATACTCGTATACGAGCTGAAAAAACAAGTTTAATAAAATAATTACCGACATAAAAACCCGGAAGAGAGAATTATTTACAAAATATTATCACAAAATAAAAGTTGAATTTTATGTTGTTTTTTTTTCATAATCATAAGTTTCAAATAAAATTTAAAAAATAATCATGCAATAATGTTTTATCTCAAATATTTTAAATTATTGAAATAAGTTATACCATCCATTTACATAGAATTTTAATTTCCATCATAAATGTATCATAGATTCTGAAAAAATACAAATCGTCAAACAAATATTTTTCCACGTAACGCAAAAGCTTCTTAACATTATATTATTTAAAAACCTAAGATCTCAAGTTTATTATTTAGTAAAACCAGAAAAGTTTAAAATGTTTGACATCTGTTGTTTAATTCACACTGGTTTTATTTTATACTCATATTTATTTAGACAGTAATTGACATTTACACGTCTGTGTTTGTCTGAAAGTAGTTATTGAATTCAACTTTTCTAATTAAAATTAATTATTTATTAAATTAATGTGTTTCGTGAATGTTTGATTTACAAAAGATTGTAGCTTCGTGATAAATAGAAGAGATAAACATTCTTATACAATGTAGGTGGTAATTATTTTAAGTCACAGACGATTCGGAAAAGTAATATAACCAGTATTACCAATTATACTGGTAAAACTTTTTTGGTTTTGTATTATTTTAATTTATTTTAATTATTAAAAATTATAAAAGTGCTGTTTGTCTAATTGGTTAGTGAACAATCATTTTGATGGATTTTTTTTTTAAATTTTTWAATTATTTATAAATATGTTCAATTTTCTTAGATAGTAGATACTCCTGTAAAGTCAAAAACACGATATAGCTTTTAACACAATTGCTGGTTGACGGATCAATATTACCTTCAAACATTTGGAAATCACCATAAAATGAAACACATACGTATACATAGAATTTCATATTTTATTTATGAAATGACCGGCTGTTCTCACAATATAATGATAGCAATAAAAAATAAATAATTTTAATATTGGATCAAAAGAAAACTATAACTAAACCAAAGRTAAATATTAAACGTTATATATATATTTAAACTTTCAAATTAATAATACAATAAAAAAAAAAATTAAAAAAATGATTTTTTTATTAAATTAAAAAAATGTTGTATTATTTTTTCCTGTATTTTTCAGAACATAAGATTGTTTTTATTGAAAATCAAAATGTTTTAATTATAAAATGGGTTCCATTCATTGTAATTTTTAATTAAATATATTTAATCCCTATTTTAGTAGTTTATTTAATCTGAAAAAATTAGTCTTCGGGCTTAAAGTATTTTTTATCCTGTCTGTTTCAAATATTCAATTTATAGCGCAGCTAAAAAGTTTCACTTGATTGGAAAAAATAACATTTTAAAATTAAAGCAATGAGCTCTAACTGTTGTCATATTAAACTTTAAAACAATTAAATGTTTATACCATAAAATACTTCCTAAGAACTTCTTAAATATATAAATTCATGATAACATATAGAAAAATCTCATATTAAATTTGGTTCTAATCATATTATATTTGAGATGTATATTAAATTATAATATTATACAAAAACATTAAAGTGTAGAAAACGTTATTAACGTTAAAAAAAGTGCATTGTTATTATTGGATTTCTTAGAGGAAWTTAAAACGAAAAAAATATAATTTCAAAACGATAACAGCCGTTTATTTATTTGTCGGCCACTGTAAACACGGTTCGATAAGATTTAATTATCGCGATTAAAAAGAAAACACAGATGGTTGAGGTTTTATAGAATTTCGGTCTTTAAAATATTTCGTAAAATTTGAATAACCTAGCTATAATAATATGATAGTGTTCCGAGTCAAGTATTTAAAAAAATAAAAATAAAACTCTGTATAATCGTATTAAAATGAACAGAACGAACATTACTGGTGTTACAAATACGAGAGGGAAAAAACAATAAAAAAAAAGTCACTGCGTTAGACCGCAAAATTAAATTTTATTTCATTTGCGATAAGAATAATAATATTTGAACATTTTTTTGTGGTTTTTAATTAAAAATTTAAAACAATTTTTTTTTCAGTCTCGGGAAGAGAATATAATAATATAATGTGATAAATTCCAGCGCAACCTATATAATAAATAGTAATAATATTCGCTTGAGAACACTTTCTCAGGCCTTAAAAACCAAATCGATTAGATTTCGTATAGCCAAATTTTATCTACCATATTATTAAATGACCTAACCATTGGAATGGGAGAGAGGGTAATTATAAACAGAATATCATACATAGCGGCATAGCACAATGCACGTGTATCACGGTGGTGGTATAGCGTGGTTAGGTTGCTCTTACCAACGACTTGAAGATGAATGTACTGGCTGATGTGTGGCGTGGTGGATATCTGGCATTCGTAGATACCCGAGTCTCTGATCTGCGGATACTTGATCTGGAGCGTCCAGTCTTCACTTGGTGGTTGATTGATCGACCGGAAACGCTGATCACCGGTATACGTGTACCGGCCAACCGTCAGCAGATGAATGTCTCGGTGTCTGACCCAGGAGACCTTCAACAGTAAACAAAATAAAAATAGAAAAATCAATGACGTCGCATAATATAATAAATTACATAATATTTTGATGTAAAAATAATAATTTATCGTTTTAAATCTTCAAAAGGTAAAGCACGATATTGTATGTTTACCATATCATACTCCGATTGACTTCAACAGCTAGTACAATTATTTTGAAGTACACATTTTTCGCGCTTTGCATAGTTAAACAGGCATAAAAAAAAAAAACAACGCGAATAAATTAATTGAAATCTCATCCTTAATAATTATTTTTTAAATATTAKTATACCATCTCGACAGTATATAAAATGTTGAGTTACACGTGTGCATGAACTCACGTGCCCCGCACCGACGGGATTCTAATATGATATTTTGACAGSCACCTCTTCCGCCGCTGCTACTATATACAACAGTTTCAATGAAATTAACTGAACTCAATCCTTTTAATAACCAATTATACGGCGTGTGTAACACGTATGCGTCATAACCAGGTTATAATAATAATAATAATAATAATAATAATAATAATAATAGAAATGCCGAATATACGGTATGCGCAGACCTACCTTTATATAATAGCATGTATCATTGAAAATAACGGTGTGGTACATTAGTATGATATACATTTAATTTTAAAATCGACAAAGCGCTTGCCCGTATTTCCATAGGGGACTGATGAAATTTGCTTGATTCTGATAATAATATTAAAAATAATAATAATATTAATATGTGCTAATGAATGMGTRCTATTGAAATCAGCTTCGTCCAAACTGAACTGCATGACCTCGAACAGTATAACATTATTATTATTTAATGCCATCAGTTTGTGTCACGACCGACATGACGTAAAAATCTAGTGCCAAAAATAATAACTGTACACCATGGGTACCTATTATAATACACCGGTTAACTTATTCCGACCGTCGTGCGCAAAGTTTGCGACAGAGCTTTCAACGAAGACTACGGCACAAGTCGACCGCCGTCTTATACGTCTTCGTACGTGTCGGTCGATGCACCGAACTTGCGGTTCACTCGAGTTAATTATGAAATCATACACGTTAACGGTTTCGTCGATTTATCCTATCGCGATCAAACTTTTCCCTCAAGTCATATTGCTCGTAAGCTCATTAGATTTAAAATGGGTAACATTATTTTACGGAGAAGGTTTATTAACTCGCAAGAGCATCCGTCGGAAGAGGTTTTACGAAATTTCCGAAAAATGTGACATCCCCGAACCGATGACAAACAAAGTTAAGGACCACGCAATGATGTTATTTCTAAGAAAGCACCATGGTATCGCGTCCTTCGCGGGTTTATGCAGTAAATATCATAGGTGGCTTGTGTTGATGTTTGACAGTAAGTTCACGAAGATTAGGTGAACCTATTAGGTTAACCTAACCTTGTAAAATTATTTGAGGAAAAAAATACCAAGCCGAATGGATATGAGAAACGCATTAGGTATTTACTGCTCACGACACAATATAATTTCGTTTAAGCGTTAGCAGTATTTAAAATAGGTACAATAATAATGAGACCAAATAGAACAGGTATACAGTTTTTCTCTTTATAATGAAATAGATGTAAGTGGTACCTTATATCCTAATATTATTATACTTTTCTGAGTGCCTATATAGGTATACATTCCTATATTATAAGTGTAGTGGTAAAACTTTTTATGATCTACCTACTGAGAATATGAAGTGTAATTATTATTATTATTTTTTTAAGTCTTTATCACTGATTTTTATAGGAAATATACACATATCAATATATACAAATTTAAAGACTATAGTCATACAAAAATAATACATTAAYTTTCTGTATTATTTCAAAATAAATTAACATTGTAGGAACTGTTGGGGATGAAGCGCGTCATTTCATATTATCATTGACTCGTTAATATTATAATCTCGCCATCTGGAAGAAGTCGCTATAACTATTAAACGAAGGAGCTATTTTAAATAATCATCAAAAAGAATTGCTTGGTTGCTCAGTACTCAGCCATTAAAACTTCCATTTAAAAAAAAAAATAATTTTTTTACAAACAAGTTAACCCGAAATGCATACCTATAGTCAGTAACTGTAGTATCTATACTATCTATAAATGTATCACAATATAAGTTCTAACTAAGGAGAATTAACTTTTGAGGCGTCTGAAATTGAAGTTTTGGCCACCCATGCTATATACTATTATTGTAAAGTGAAGGATGAGCTTCTAACGAGGTTTTACGAAACAGCTGAAAACATGTGACACTCTGTAAATCGTTGGCCATTAAAGTTAAGGCCCGTTTAGTTATTTCGATGCAAACGCTATAGTATYGCACACTTCGCGGGCTTATGCCATAGGCAGTAAAAACTATAATAGTCAGTGTGTGTTGATGTTCAAGAGTCAACTGCGATTTGGGTGAACGAATTTTGTGGAAAAAAATCTGACCAGAATAACGGATAAGTGAGACGCATTGTTTATATTGCTCGGCATCACACAGTTACATTGACGCGTTAGCAGAAGTCTACAGAACAATGAGACCAAGTAGAAAAGGTATATTGTTTTTCTCTTTATAATAATATAATAGGTAGGTAACCTTATATTATTATATTTTTGTGCACGACGACGTGCGCGGGTATATACGTATATATAATATTATTATAACGAGATGGCAACAGGATGGGTAGTGGTTTGAGTTAATTACTTATTTTTAGTTGGTTTTCCGCAATAAATTTTAAAATCTACCCACTTCATTGTGCTTTATATATTATACACAATATACACTGCAATATATACATACAAAACTCTAAATTATTTTGAAACGTTAAACTTTGAAATTTTTATTAAATTTTCAAGAAACGTAAAAAACGTCACSTACACATTTACAGCATAATATAATGTTTACTCTGTACAAGTTAGATAAAATAAAATAAACAAATAATTAAAAAAGTACGAAATTAGAGACATACCGGGAATATAATAATAATACGGCCTTGTTTGGTACCGTATTTGGTACGATATTATACTATATAGGTTAGGTAAACATTAGCACACAAAATCCAGGGAGGAAGGGCTAAATAAAATTATTAGCCTCGAATTTTGAGAGCCAACCATTTGGGAGCGAACTTAAACAGGTTACTTCCCTCCACCAACCATCATTTTTAGTGCGCCATTGCCTATTTTGATATTTTGATAAATTTGGTGGGTTTATTCACAAGAAAAAACAACGCTTATACTATAGGTTACGGTGTGTAACAAATAGAAACGCACAAATGAAATATAAATGTCTTTTCTTTAMATTTTGAAAAAAAAAATTTWAATTGTGATAATATGAATACTACGAATGTACGGCACTCTAACCAAGAGAATATACATAAAATCAACAGACTCAGGCTGTATAAAAAAATGATTGCGTCACATAGTTACCGCAAAATATGATTACTTTTGCTACTGTCTAGAGCCCTAGAACAATGAAAATAATAAAAAGAAAAGAAATTCTATATACTTAGAACCTCATAAATAAAATAATAAATGATTTAAACATTTAGTATAATATTATATTATTGGACTGGTATAACATTATTATATTTTTATGTGTTCCGTACAGGAGAGATAAATATACAAAGTAAAACGTTCAAGTTTTATTTTTGTGGAGATAAATAGTTTTGTTCGAGAAATGTCTAAAAAATTACATTTTTGTTTTAAGTAATTACAATATATTATAAAAATACAGGAGTTGAAAAAATTTTAAACAATAGAAAAAAAAATAATAATGTTTCGAGTTCTATTTTTAAATTATAAACTTTACAAAAGAAAGTTATAAAAATTAAATTAAAAATTAAATATCACACGGAAAATGTCAGTTAAACTACTTTTGTATAAATTTTGCGAAGAATTTGATAAATACGAGTAAACATGTCTTATAGCTATTTGCCAAGGAACATTATCATAAAGTAACTATTGACATAGGTTGGGAATCTGAGGACTTGTAACAGATTTTATTAGTTTTACGAGAAAAAATCCCACTAGCAACGCACCTACAAAAATCGAACAATTGTTTTTTTTACGATTCACATCATTTTAAACAATAATTAATTCAAACCGCAAATCCTTAATTGAATGTATTGAACCTGCTATACAGTTTTTGAGATTTAAATTAATACCTAATATGGATAAATTAAGATTTTTATTCCTTTGAATAATTAATAATGCAATATATTTTAAACTGCGCAATAAAAAATCACCGTTTGCACACTAAACGACTTAACACAGTAATTACTTTTCATTTCTATACAACTTATACTTTTATCCGGCTTTAAGACAACACGATGAATAATAATTAACCACTTTTGCACCTTTTCTATTTAAACAATCTCAGTTTTTGCCACAATTAAAATTTATGATATGTTCATCATCAMCTCCCAAAAAATCTTGMTTTTCTAAAAAAATAAAATAATTTATCATTTTTTTCTTGATTTTAACCATTTACCTTGTATTCGGTTTTAATAGGTACCACTATATTATAATAATCTATTTTGCATTGTTATATTTATGACGTATTATGTACTTATATCTTATATTAAAAATTAAAACCAATGGCTCGTAATAATTGTATGCTGATTTCAATAGTTTTTTACAATTTTGTTTGAACACTACATCTTGCGTGTCATTTTTGGTTTAATTTATATTACATTTTGTGTAATATTATTTAAATATGTAATATAACGTTTTTAGTTAGTATAAAAATATAATACAATTTTATTCAATTATATATTATGTAAGAAAACACTCAATCAAGCCGTAACAGTGTGGATTGATAGATTTTGACAGTAAGTTTTTGAAATAAAATAAAATGTACTTTAAARTTATCGAGTTAACTTTTCGTAAAAAAAATTACATCTAAATACTTAATTTGAAATTTGGTTGACAAGCTTTTAAATGTAAAATTGTATTTAAATATCTGCTATAAATACTCATATTATTTGYCAAAAAGTTTTTCTATAGAATGAGAATTGAAAAAAAMCAAACAGTTCTAGATTATGTGTGTAGAGACGAAAGTATTGATTTTTCAATGATGTGTTTTATAATTTGYATGTTTTAATTTTGTGTCCAAAGACAATTTTTCCTAGTATGAAAATTATTCTGGTAATAAACTTTGATTCAAGTTYAAAGTAGTAAATTGGATCTTGTTTTTTTTTTAAATTAAGACAGTTAAATAT